TGTATTTTGGCCAGGGGGTGAATGGAATAAAGGGAGGGTTTTATTGGCTCAATAAAGGCTTTTAAAGAAGGAAAATAACAACAAACAAAAGGTTTTATTTTACACACTCTTATTTTCGGCCCGGGGCTAAAATAAGAGTAGGAAGAACTTTATTTTGGATATCAAAAGGAAATAAAATACTTTTGGATATTTGGGGTTGGGTTGGACGAAAAGAGGATTGGCCAGCGGAACCCCGAGGTCAAAAACGAAAGTTATTTGGCCTTCCGGGTTAAAGGACTTTGAATTGTTACTAAAATGGATCATAATGTTTGAACGTAAGTTCTTTGGTTCCCATGGGAGTGTGGGACATGGGGGAGGGTAGGATAGGGCCGGGCCCAGATATAACAGAAAATACCCAGCAATAATAATAATAATTATGATACTCATCATCATCATCTTCACAAAGTGAATGCTGATGGTCCTCAACATTTGATTGCTCTCAATTCTCACTAGATTCATGCCTGTGTTTTCAGGGTTCTGAGGCTATGATGATAATTGTTCACTTTCTCTTCGTTGGGCATGTGTTATTCCTACCTGTCATTTGGCAGGGCAGACATGCTAATGGGCGTCTTTGCAGCCATGGCAGTTTATGAAAATCACATGCCCAGTACTCAAACTCAAATCTGAGCCTCCACAGTGTGAACTCTGACCTCTTCGATTACAATTTTCAGTCTGTTGTCTTGTTTCTTCAAGATGCATGCAGCCTTAGGCCTCTTTAAATAGAGAGGTTGTCTCGGTGAGACCTTTGCTGCATTGCTACATTTGCTTTCTAAAACTTCATTGAAAGTAAGAAGCAACTGAAATTTAATGTGTGCTTTTTGTTTAGTACATTATTTATCTGAAGGTAAAGCGTTATAGAAATGACTCTTTCAGCTCACATATATATATATATATATATATATATATATATATATAAACGTTTTATGTATGTATGTATATATCCTTCCACACATCCATACGTATACATGCATGCATGCATGTAATATGACAATAAGTTAGTTATACCAAATATAGAATTGTTTCTCTCCATCCCATTTTATGTATCCCTTTCCTTGCCCCCCAACCAAACAGTCCCTTACGAATAAAGAATCAGTAGCGCATGGTCGGGATTTTTGAAAAAATGGGTTGCTATAAATTTAAATCTCCAGCTGCGTCAGTATTTTATGGTCTGTGAGTTACTGAATGAGGCTGCAGAGATCCATTGGAGATTTCTAAGGGTGGTTGCCCTCTCTCTTGGCCAATGATTTCTCAAAGAATAAACAACCCTTCATACATACAACATATACTTCCTCGTCCACCTCCTCCTCCTCGTCTTTATTGTACCAGGCTGTGGCTGTTACAGTCACCATAATCTCAGTTTCATAGATGGCATCTCGATGTCTATATGTGCGATTCAACAATGGTGTTTGATTATTTGTGAATCCAGAGCTTATGGCGGAGAAATCGGTTTGTTAGTTGCATGGTGACCCGGGATTCTGATATTTATCTGGCGGGACCCGGATTGCAGCCACGCGGGTCGGATATTCAGTGACGCGTGTTTTATCTACTTGTTTGAGTTTCATATTTATGACCTAATTGGCTCTGTATGAACTTGTAGGTCATGTTTTTTTTCTCACTCCCACATTGTATGAGGCTACAGGGGGGGGATTTAGGGGTTTCACATGGCAGTTGCCCCACTCTGCTTGCCAATGACTTTACATTTTGCTTTATAATCAACATCCAATTTCACAACAGCCAAATATCATTTTGAATGTGTAGAAAATACATTAATATTTTGATAAATCTTTGACAAATATATTCAATCAAACTATACTACTAGCATATAGTTTGGGTGAGACTCCGGCATTGTTCGCGTGTCAAAGTTAGAGGCTGGACACTTGAACAGCTGGCTATGTTTGCTCCTTCAATACCGCTCCACAAAAAATGTCCCTTCTTTAAGAAAGTTGGTTGCTTTTATTCAAAGGTATAATTTCCATCTTTAATCAATTGTTTCAGTATGAGTTCCTTGGGTGGAAGGCATGCTTGGAGATAAAAATTGTGTAATTCAGTTGCGCTGGCATAGTCTTTGTGGAATTCTGGTGGAATTCTGGTAGGTGAAGAGATGAAGAATGAATGAGGCTTGTAAAAAGATTGGGGTTTCTTGATGGGTGCTTTACCCTCTCTACTATGCCAGTGATTTCTTCTCCAAAAATCAACAGCCCATATGTGGAAGTGTGGAACTGTTGAGGAACTTTAATTTTTTTTATTCCATTATTATTGTTCTCTTTTCCACTACATGTAAAAATATTCGATAATAATAATAATAATAACAACAACAACAATACTCATCATCATCTTCACAAAGTGATTGCTGATGGTCCTCAACATTTGTTTGCTCTCAGCTCTCACTAGATTTATCTATGTGTTTTCAGGACTCCGAGGCTATGATGATAATTGTTCTCTTTCTCTTCGTTGGACATGTGTTATTTCAACCTGTAACTTGGCAGGGCAGACATGCCTATGGGCATCTTTGCAGCCATGGCAGTGTTTGAATATCACTTGCCCAGTACTCAAATCTGAGCCTCCAGTGTCCCGGAATCCTTATATACTGTGGGGGCATTGAACTCCGACCTTCTCTGCTATGCCAGTGAATGAGGCTTGTAGATAGACTAGGGTTTCTTGATGGGTGGTTGACCCTCTCTGCTATGCCAGTGATTTTGTCTCCAAATATCAACAGCCCATATGTGGAACTGATGAGGATCTTTAATGGTTGTTTTTTCCATTAATTTTTTTCTCCTTTCCACTACATATGAAAATACTCAGTAATAATAATAATAATAATAGTAATCATCATTATCTTCACAACGATGAATGCTGATGGTCTCTAACATTTGTTTGCTCTCCGCTCTCACTATATTCATACCTGTGTTTTCAGGATTCCGAGGCTATGATGATAATTGTTAACTTTCTCTTCATTGGGCTTGTGTTATTTCAACCTGTAACTTGGCAAGGTAGACATGCCAATGGGCGTCTTTGCAGCCATGGCAGTGTGGGAATATCACTTTCCCAGTACTCAAATCTGAGCCTCCACGGTGTCCCAGAATCCTTATATATTGTTGGACATTCAACTCTGACCTCTTTGATTATAATTTTCGGTCTGTTGTCTTGTTTCTTCAAGATGTATGCAACCTTAGACTTCTTTAAATAGAGAGGTTGTTTCGGTGACACCCTTGATGCATAGCTACATCCGCTTTCTAAAACTTCATTGACAGTAAGAAGCAACTGAACTTTAATGTGTCCTTTTCATTTTGCACATTATATATCAGAAGGTATAACGTTCTAAAAATGACTCTTTCTGCTTACTTATGTATAAAAACATTTTATGTATTTATGTATCCATCTATCCGTACATACATACATATATACATACATATACATGCATGCATGCAATAAATCAGTTATACCAAATATAGAATCATTTCTTTCTATCCTATTTTATCTATCCCTTTCCTTCCCCAACCAAACAGACCCTTATGAACAAGGAATTAAAAGCGCAAGGTTGGGTTTTGTTAAAAAAACGGGGTGCTATAAATATAAATCTGGTCTGAGAGTTACTTAATTAGGCTGCAGAGACCCAATGGGGATTTCTAAGGGTTGTTGCCCTTCTTTGTTTGCCAATGATTTCTCAATGATTAAACAACCCTTCATACATACTGCAACTACTGGTTTGATCTTCCTCCTTGTCTTTATTGCACTTGGCTACGGATGCCACTGGTGCCATAGTCACTGTTTCATCAATGGCATCTCAATGTTGTGAATATCTGGTTCAACACTAGTGTTTGGTTATTTGTGAGTCTGATGAATCTGGCAGAGAACGTGGTTTGTTAATTGCGTGGCCCAGGATTTTGACGTTTATCCTATCTGACCCATATATTGGGCATAGGTTGGTCTGACCTGTACTTGGCAGGGCATACATCACAGTAAATGTTGCAGCCATGGCAGTGTTAGAGCTACCACCTTTGCCTGGTACATAAATCTGAGCCTCAATATTGTTGCGAATTCCTTAAGGCTGGTTGCTGGTTGCTGCTCTTTTGGCTAATGGTTTCTCAAAAAATAAACGGCCCTTCATACATATAACAAATACTTCTCGTTTCACCCTTCTTACAGTCACCATATTCACTGTTGTAAGTTTATTAGTGAGTCATATGCTTCTGGCGCTGAAACCGATTTGGTAATGGCGTGGTGACCCGGGATTCCAAGATTTATCTGGCAGGACCCGGATTGCAGCCATATGGGTCGGCTATTCGATGACACATGTTTTATCTTCATATTTGAGATATATATTTATGACCTAATTGACTCTGTATCAACTTGTAAGTTATGGTTTTTTCTCTCCCACAATTTGTATGAGGCTGCAGGGGTATTTAAGAGTTTCGGATGTCAGTTGTCCCACTCTGCTTGCTAATGGCTTCACAATTTGCTTTATAATTAATAATCAATTTCACAACAGGCAAATATCATTTTGAATTTGTGGAAAATACATAATAACAATTTGATAAATCTTTACTACATATATTCAATTAAACTTTACTAGCATATAGTTAGTATGATACTCCGGTGTTTTTCGTGTGTCAAAGTTAGAGGCTGGATGCTTGAATGGCCACGTTTGCTCCTTCAATACCACCCTACAACAACCGTCCCTTGGGTGGTAGGCATGCTTAGAGAGTTTAGGTAATTCAGTTGCAATGCCACGTTCTATGTGGAATTCTAGCAGGAGAAGAGATGAAGAATGAATGAGGCTTGTAGATAGACTAGGGTTTCTTGATGGGTGGTTGACCCTCTCTGCTATGCCAGTGATTTTGTCTCCAAATATCAACAGCCCATATGTGGAACGGATGAGGATCTTTAATGGTTGTTTTTTCCATTAATTTTGTTCTCCTTTCCACTACATATGAAAATACTCAGTAATAATAATAATAATAATAGTAATAATCATTATCTTCACAACGATGAATGCTGGTGGTCTCTAACATTTGTTTGCTCTCCGCTCTCACTATATTCATACCTGTGTTTTCAGGATTCCGAGGCTATGATGATAATTGTTAACTTTCTCTTCATTGGGCTTGTGTTATTTCAACCTGTAACTTGGCAAGGCAGACATGCCAATGGGCGTGTTTGCAGCCATGGCAGTGTGGGAATATCACTTTCCCAATACTCAAATCTGAGCCTCCACGGTGTCCCGGAATCCTTATATATTGTTGGACATTCAACTCCGACCTCTTTGATTATAATTTTCGGTCTGTTGTCTTGTTTCTTCAAGATGTATGCAACCTTAGACTTCTTTAAATAGAGAGGTTGTTCTGGTGACACCCTTGATGCATTGCTACATCCACTTTCTAAAACTTCATTACAAGTAAGAAGCAACTGAACTTTAATGTGTCCTTAACATGGCAGGGCATACATTCCAGTGAATGTAGTTGCAGCCATGGCAGTGTTAGAACAACCACCTTTGGCTAGTACAAAAATCTGAGCCTCAATACTGTTGCAAACACCTTTAATACACACACACACACTCACTCACACACACACATATTGAAATAAACTAAATTTTTGAAAAAATCAACCTTCAGACATCAGAAATCGTGACATGAGAAAAAGAAAGTGGGGCTGGAGTAGCAAAAGTGGGAAATAAATCAATTATTCGGTGGGTGACTCGCTTGAGATCACCTTTTTAAAAAATCACTTTCTTTATACTCTCTGTTTCAAAAATTCTACATTTCAAGTAGAAACATAGAGTATCTATTTTCTTTTATCAAATAACTACTCCGTCCCAAATTATGTTATCTTTTCACCATTCACACAATCAAATTTCATTAATCTTTTTTTTCTTATTTTTGTTACTTATTTGATAAAATAATAAAATCATGACACTTCTTGTTTTGTAGAACTTTTGATGTTATTTTAATATATAAATTTTACCTTTCAATTCTATACCATTTCTCAAATAAATTATATTGAAAATAATTTCAGTTAAATATCATAAATCGAAACATGTTAATTAGATTGGGACAGAGGGAATAATAAAAATACATGTGCAAATCAAATAATCGGGGACTTGTAATAGTACATATATTTAGTTGTAGTATAAATTTAGTAAAATTGGTTTTATTTTAAAATATAGTTTTGAAATATCAAATTTTTTTGTAATATTTAATTATTTAAAATTATATTTAATTTATGGTCAAAGAGGGCAGATGAACGAGGCGGCAGAGATCTTGATGTTTCTGTAAGGGTGGTTTGCTCATCTCTGTTTGCCAATAAACAAACAGCCCTCCATGCATTTATAGAAAATGCGATTCTATGTACTCCGCATATTTTTGATCATCTTCTTCTCCTTCTCATATACTGCCTGTCTACGCGAAGCTTCGTGGCTTAATGATTTTTTTTCTGATATATTAGGGTTCCCAGCTTGCGGCTTCATGAAATTTGATCAGTATCTTGGCTGGGCAAATCTAGGCAAAACTGAGATTTGCAGCCATGGCTGTATCTTTGTTCATTTACGAGTTGCCAGTTCAAAAGTAAGTAAGGATCACACTTAGTTGAAGAGAACAATTTCTTGATGGTGGAGTATATGATACATATTTGATGTCTGAACCTCCATCATCGTGTATTCGTGTTCCTTCCGTTCCTCAAACCAAACATAGTGTTATTAGTTGGAGTTCTTGTCAGAGAAGAGATGTAGACTGAATGAGGCTTGCAGAGAGACTAGGGTTTCTTGAAGGGCGGTTGACCCTCACTCCTATGCCATTGATTTCATCCATAAATTTCAACAGCCCTTGTGTGGAAATGAGGAAGGATAAGGTTGTTATATTTTTTTACAACCATTTTCCTTAGTATACCGTGCCAAAGTAATATGGAGTAAGTAATAAGAATGAGTTGAAGAGAACATGGCCTTAGTATAATATGATGTGCCAATGTTAACCGCGGATAAAACGAGTTGTTGTAAAATGTGATTAGGGTTCTAATCCAACTCCAGGTGTGTTTAGACTTTCGGGATTGCAGATGAATGAGGCGGCAGAGATCTTGAGGATTCTGTAAGGGTGGTTTGCTCATCTCTGCTTGCCAATGATTTGCCAAAAAACAAACAGCCCTCTATGCATTTATAGAAAATGCAACATTATCTACATGTACTCCGGGCCTGTTTGGCAACTGAATACGGTCTGAACCATTAAGAGCTAGTATATTGCTTAACTATTCAGAGGCAAATGTCTGATCAATTCAGATAAGAGGTCTTATCCATTCAGACTCTGTATAATACTTAACCATTCAGAGGCAAATGTCTGAGCCATTCAGACATCTGAACCATTAAGAGGCTGAAACAAACAGTCTGAACCATTAAGGTGCTGTTTGTTTTTTCTGCAGAAAAAGGTCTGCAGTCTGCAGACCACATCTGCACACATCTGCAGGAGAAGAGGTGGGCCAAAGGTCTGCAGTCTGCAAGAGGAAGACTGTTTGTTTTTTAACTTCTGCATATTGTTTAAATAAACTGAAATTTAAAATAAACAGATTTTTAAAGTAATCAATATTTTTAAACATTCAAATTTAAATAAGAGTTCTAAAACACTGAAATAACAACAATAGCATTTTTTAAAATAACAATAATAACAATATTACAAATAATTTATTCTGCAACAATCATTAGCAACAATCATTAGCAACAATTAACAAATCTGAACTAGAACAACAATAATCAACAAGAATAATCAACAACATGAACTACTACAACAATCTTTAGCAATAATTCACAACAAATTGTTCACGATTATATAAAAAAATAAAAAACATGTAAAAAAATATTGTACAAATTCAGCCCTAGGTATACGTAAACTAGAAGATACAAATACAATTCAATTATATAAAATCTGGGGATAAATTTATACTAGATAAATTCAATTACTCTAAAATATGTAACTCAGTTGATCTAATCTTACCAATTGACTTTATAATGACCTAATTGAGCCCACTGCCCACCATTGTAATAATTAAAATGCAAATGGCAATTGATACAAGATAGGCTAAATTCACATACCAATCGTGAATTGAGAGGCAATCGTGAGAGGAGGAGGCCGCTGGAGTTGCAATCTCAATTGAGAGCCGGCGCCGCTGGAGTTGCAATCGTGAATCGCAATCTCACAATTGCGAGGAGGAGGGCGGCGCCGCTGGAGTTGATGAGCAGGGAGACGGACGCCGGCAGAGGGAGACGGACGCCGGCGGAGGGAGAGAGAAGTCGCAGCAGAGGGAGAGAGAAGTCGGGAAGGGAGGCGGATGAGAAGAGGGTAGGTTTTAGATCGAGAAGGGAGAGATAGGGAGGCGGACGAGAAGACGCGAGAAGCTAAGGTTTATGTCTGCTTGGGGAAGATGTTTGGAAGACGTTTTTAAGTGATTTGTCTTCTAAAAAACAAACAGTCTGCGCGTCCCTAATGTCTGCCCGCGTCTGCACGGCACAGACATAAGTGGTTAGAAGCTCTTCTCAGCAAAAAACAAACATCCCCTAAGTGATGAACCATTCAGACATCTGAACCATTAAGAGGCTGAAACAAACAGCCCCTCCGTATATTTGCAGTCATATTCTTCTCCTTCTCATATACTACCTGTCTACGCGAAGCTTTGCGTGATTGCATCTTGATGAATTATTAATTTTTTTATATTAGTTTTCCCATCTTGCGGCTTCATGAAATTTGATCAGTATCTTGGCAGGGCAAATCCAGACAAAACTGAGATTTGCAGCCATGGCTGTATCTTTGTTCTTTTACGACTTTTCCCTTATAATATAAGGACCAGACTCAGTTGAAGGTAACAATTTCTTGATGGTAGAGTGTATCATGCATATTTAATGTATGAGCCTCTATCATCGTATCCCTTCCCTTTCTTTCCTCAAACCAAAAATACTGTTATGATCTATTTGAAGTTCTTGTTAGAGAAGAGATGTAGAATGAACGAGGCTTGCAAAGAGTCTTGGGTTTCTCGAAGGGCGGTTGACCCTCACTGCTATGCCGTTGATTTCATCTCTAAATTTCAACAGCCCTTCTTGTGGAACTGAGTAGGAACTATAACGCCGTTAGTGCTGTTATATTTTCCACAACATATGAT